ATATATATATATATATATATATATATATATATATACCAAAGCCTAGTTATACTGTCTCTTTCTTTTTTACTGTTGCCAACGAACTCGATGATTGTTTAAAGTAGCTACTTGATTATTTTTATTTTTCTTTCCTCTGCATAGAGTTTTGCTTAGTAACAGTTTCATCCCGCCTGATTTCGATCACTTGTCATTATTTTGATTTTGAGTGCTGGTTTCTGCCGTATGGAGCAAAATCATTCATTTCAAAAAATAGTTGCAGGACCATTCATTGTTAAAAACACCTGTCAAACAGGTGGAACCCTTAGCGTCCGGGAACGAATTAAGAGTTTCGGACAGTGAAGTACCTGCCGTTGGTAGTGAAGATCGTCCATCTGGAGAAACTTTTGTCGAAGAAAGAACTGAGGTGCTGGGTGCTGCTGAAAATGTCTCAGATAGGGACAGCAAGATTCCTGTAGATGAAGTTAAAGGTAACATGGCAGAAGACTTAGCACCTTGTGTGCAATCCGCGTCAGAAACTGTTGCTGAAACGAAGGAGCAGACGTCCGGAGCTATCGAAAGCAAGGTTAGCGGGGAAAAAAGTGCGCTAGCTGCTAATGAAGAAAACGTTACGCCAGAGTTTCGTGAAGAGGCAGTTGTATCTAAAGGAAGCGAAGAGCAGTCTGTACAGAAAGTTAGTGAAGAGCAAGCCATTCCTGAAGCAAGCGAAGAAAAGGCTCCACAGGAAGTAAACGAAGGAATTGCTGCTGAGGAAAGCGAAAAGAAAGTTGTGGAAGAATTGAGCGAAGAAGCTGCTCCTGAAGCAAGTGAAGAGAAGGTGGTGCAAGAATTAAACGAAGAAGTTGCTCCCGAAGTAAGCGAAGAAAAGCTTGCGCCAGAAGTGGCTGAGGAAGACGAAAAACCAGAACGAATGGATACTGAGAGCGTCCAACAAATTACACTGAGCCTTGAAGAGCCAGCTGAGAATGTTGAAAAGGCCAAACAGGCATCGACCCCCCCGTCAGAAAAAGGAGACCTGTTGTAAGTTTGGTTTTTTAGTGTGGTTATAGGAATAATTTTTTTGAGGTTATGTTTGAAATGTTTGATTACATTAAATTTTGCGAGAAATGATGTCTGTATTCGATCTTGAGTTCCAAAAAATTTGTTTTTCATGGAACGAGGTCTTTCTAGGGAACATTTAAGTATCTGTAGATCATATGCTCTTTTATTTTTTAAGCCTCTGATTGACGTATGTGAAAGTTGAGCACGTATTCGAATGGTTGTGTGTTGTTTTCAAAATTACTTGTTCAGCTTCAGTCGTTTGAGTTTTTCAAAATGAAATGACTTTTTTTTTTAAATGAAGTTTCTCCAGTGCTAGTTGTTGGAGGACTCTAGAATTACTTGTAGAGTGCTGTAAACAAAAGAATTTGGCATTTCTGAAGTCTTTTTCGTTGGTTCTTTCGTAGTCGTTGTTGTCGTTATTCTATTAAAATTTTTCGTATATACTTCATATATTTCTTTCAAGAAAGCTAGCACTTTCAGTTTTTCAAAAGCAATAAGTCTACTCACTAAATCTTTTTGGAAACCATACTTTATTTGTCATTTGAAAATGTGGAAACTTGTTTTAATGTTGTTTTCTGAGTTTTAGTGTGGAAGCAGCTGTTCTGTTTTTTAATCAACTCTTTTTTGTCGGAACTTTTTTCTTCTGAACTTAGGAAAGCAAGGCGTAAATTTTAGTCGAATTTGCGGTTTTTATGCGGCTTTAGTTTATAACAAATCTAGCGGTTTAAGAAAAGGAAGCATGATTGCGTAGCGCTTGTGTACAAAAGTCTGTACGTCCCAGTATGGATTGAGGAAATAATTCCCCATAGCAGAACATAAGTTTTCAAATGAAGCTCTTTTACCTAACTTCCACAATTGTGCACGTACCATCAGAGCGGTTCATTATTGCAGTTTGCTTTGATGGATTTCTATTAATTAGAAGATATATATATATATATATATATATATATATATAT